AGTAAAGGCTGTGTTTGGCCAGTCCTGTGCCATGGCAGAGCATCACCCCCCCCCCATTTTACTACAGCCATGTACATGGTTCTATAGAAGAGATACCTACAGGGGTGCACATGGGAAGCGGTGCACAGAAGCATGGTTAACCAGCTATCGGGGACACTGATTAAGCAGATATAGCACATCCATACTACAGAACAGTATGCAGCTGTTAAAAAGAATGAGCCAATGCTATAATGCAGTAATAGGGGATGATCTCTAGACATAGGATGTAGAAAAACAGAATGCTTTTCCCAAGCTTTTTTTGCTCTATTACCTCTAGGAAAGGAAGTTAAATGAGGGCAGAGGGGCCTTGGTTAGAAAGAATGTGCTTTTCTAGTTTGTATACACCCACATGAAATGTTTATAGCAAACACACACTCATGTATTTTGAAATTTTTTAATTAAAATTGTTCATTTTAAAATAATAAAGAGACATGAACAATAAAATTCAAACTTGAAATACTTACGTGTCACTTTTTCTAGACTGTGTTGTAGCCTCCAATCTTATGGGGCTCTGCTCCAGCTCCTGGGGCACCTGTGAATCAGTAGGGTCATGAGAAACAGCCCCGTAAGTGGCTTCCTTTCCACCTAGGACTGTCTTTGTTTCATCTTGGACTGCCTTGTCATCATCCAGCACTGTGATTTGCTCTCAGCCATTCCTTGGGACACAATGTGTGGTGGTTCATAGTTTTGAAAGGCTTGGAGGAGAAAAATGGTTTTAGCATTATAGTTGCAAAGCTAAATCAGTTCTTTGTATTTAAGCCTGTTCTTTACCAGGGAGCTCAGAGGACCCAAGGAGGAAGACATTGCATATTAAACTTAGTGTAAAACACTTGAATTCTGAGAAATGAGTGTACGAGTAACAAAACTATCTGGGAAAATAACTTTGCCAGTTTGGAAACTGTTGGCTTCATAAGTAGTAATAAAGTTTTGTAGACAGTTTAAGTTAAAATGTCAGAGTCATAAGAGGTTGGATACATGGTCTCCGGGGACATCAAGCTCAATTGGCATAACATACTACACAAAAACATTGTTCTGCGTCCTATTTTGGTGAGTAGCGACTGGTGTCTTAAAAGCTTGCAAGCAGCCATCTAACATGAAACAGTTCTCAATCTGGAGCAAAGAAGAATGAAGAAAACAGAAAATGCATGAAACAATTAGTCCAAGGACCTAGTGGACCATGGGAACCTCAGCCTATATGACCATTAGACCAGAAGAACTCATTGGTGCCCAGCTACCACTGTCAGCCACTTGGAAGGGGAGATCCTGGATAGAGTGGGAGAAAAATGTGGAATAAAACTCAAAGTCATAAAAGAGATCAGGTTTACTGGTCTGATAGAGCCTAGTGAGATCCCTGAGATTATGCCCCCTTGTTACCCTTCAGGTCTGGAATTGAATTCACTTCCGTGCTTCCAGCCAGACAATAGACAGACATATGGGGTGAACATTTACACCAGGTAGATAACACTCCTTAGAACGATCGATCATGGGAGAATAGAAGGGCAGTATTTGCACAGGGAGATAGCTCGGGGCACAGGAATGCAGCATAGGAAAGAAGGACACGGAAGTGGTAACTACAGGGAGGAAGTGGGAAGAGAGCTGTTACATTGTGGGGAATTGCAGTCAATGTCATGAGACAAAATGTGTGAATTGCTATATGGAAAATGAATTTGTAAGATTTCACCCAAATCACAATAAAAATTGAAGTTGGTTACATTTGTGTTTTGGGAGATTATGAAATGATTGTTACCCTGATGATTTGACAGGTTTGTTGTTATTAAAGTATTAATCACTTATATGGCTTTAAACATTAATATGTTAGGCAACAAAGGGTTAGATCCTACTTGGGTAGACATTCTACAAATTAGATGCAGTAAGTGGAGCGTTGCTTGAGGGTAGAGGTGTTGCAGTCTTTTAGTTTCCCTAATCATTTTGTCCTCAAGTTATAAATGTAGACTGATAAGAGAGTTATCAGCAGAGCTGGCCCTTTTTTCCTTTACCAGATTGATTTAAAAACCTACCTGTTTGACAGTGGTCTTCTGTTGAAATACAATACTCAAATTACAAGATAACATCTTGTAAGACAAACCTAAAAATATATTTATACATGTGCACTACTCAGTGAAGTGAAAGAATGTTCTTTAATGTTTCAATAAAAAAATCTTGATGTGAGGTTATGAGTCATTTCAGAACTTTAAAAACTAGTCTTTATTATTGCACTGTCACTGAATTAATCTAAAATGTTAGTACCACTGTGCTCCAGAAGCTTCTTTCCTGCTTCTGAAACCCATGCCCTATGATGATATGTACACATTAGTAATGACCACACAACTGTAAGCAGCATTTTGTGGCATCTCAGGAAAGTGGATCCTTACATGCTTTATTATTTTCTAGTGTATTTCAGAAAGACATGAGAATTCGTATTTCAGAATCAGGTGTGACAGCCAGTCTCCAGGGTGACCCCCCCAGTGATCCCTGCTTCCTGGTATTCCCACCCTTGTGTTATCCTCCCACAGTGTACCAAGGTTGGTCTGTGTGATCATTAGAACATAGCTGAAGTGATTGTATGTCACTTCTGTGATAGGTCATAAAAGCCTATAGCTTCCATCTTGGGCTCTGTCTCGGAAAACGTGTCCTGGGAGAAGCCATGTTATGAACAGCCCTGTGGAGAGGTCTGTGTGACCAGAAACTGAAGCTGCCTGCAGACAACTGGATGAGTGAGCTTGGAAACTGATCCCCTAGCCCCAACTGACAGCTGAGAAACCCTAAGCCTGAAGCACCCAGCTTAGCTACTGCCATAGTCCTGACCCTCAGAAGTTACGTAAGGTAATAAACATTTGTTGTTTTAAGCTGTTAAGTCTTGGGGTGATTTGTTATATAGCAATAGATAACTAATTCTTTGCCATATGTACAGTATGAAACACACAGATTCTGCAAAAAGGACTTCTGCTTAGATGCTGCAGAAGATAAAGGAGAATCTACTAGCGTCCCATTAATGTTGTGCCTGTCTTACCCAGAGCTGAAGTCTTCAGAACCTTTCAAATAGTTGCTTTAAATTCCTTTGTGTTTGTAATATTTACCAAAGGCAGGGTTTAAGCACTCCCAAATACAGGGGGCAGTGGTAGTTCTGTGGTAGGATCCTCGCTTTCCATGCACGAGACCTAGGTTGGATTCATGGAGGTGCACCTCATGGACAGCCACCATCTGTCATGGAGGCTTGCTTGTTGCTGTGATGCTAAACAGGTTTCAGTGGAGCTGCCAAACTAAGGAGGACTAGGAAGAAAGGCCTGGCAATCTACTCCCAAAAATCAGCCAGTGAAAACCCTGTGGCTCACAACAGTCCAATCTGGAACTGATCATGGGGATGGAGCAGGGCCAGGCAGCGTTTTTGTTCCATTGTGCATTGGGTCGTCATGAGTAGGGGGCTGACTGGACAGCAGGTAACGACAAACGCCTATATTGGGATTCCCCAGTACATTGTTCCAGGCCTGAAACACCCCAGAGGCAAAGGCGGGCAAAGATTTTGGATCAAATCATAGAGGCCTTGACACCCATGAACTCACCCTTCTCTCCTGCTTTCAGGTTTACGAAAAGTCAGTGTGGTGGTTATGTTTGTGTATCAACTTGGCTGGGCCTGGTTGAGTGGCTGGGAAGTTATTCCCCATGATGAGACTGGCAATCGGCTCCATGGTGAGATCTACCACAAGTAGCTGAGTAGCTGCTTTGGATGTGTGGTCTGCTTCCCGTATATAAGAAACAGCTTTGGGAATGATCTCTAGCTTATAGCACCTTGAACCCTGCATGTAGCTGTGTCTTTCTTGAGCAGCCTGCCATGCTCTGCCGACCTTGGGACTTACAATGGACTTGAATTAATGGCCTGCCATGTGGTTTGTTAACATCGGGACTGTGCCTTTTTATTTGTCAACCTTGGGTTTTTCAGCCTCAGTAGCCAGCAGCTGTCTGAGTGAAGAAACACCTCTAGCTCCAGTGGGCCAGGAGTAGGAGGCAGAGCTGGACCCCAAGGTTGAGGGGCTTTCACCCAGCTCCTAGAGCCTGGCGCTTGAACTTGGACTTAAAGCCTCCAAACTGTAAGAAAATAAACTGTTGTTAAGGCCATCCCATTTGTGGTATATTTCTGTCAGAGCGGCACTAGGTAACCAGAACAGTCAGTAACAGGATTTCTTGGGGGCATACTCTGGACTAATGCCATTGATCATGGGCCTTCACTCCCAACCCTAGCTCATGTCCAGCACAGGGTAAAAGATTAGCCATTTTTAGAGATGGGGAAAGGGGAAAAGGATGAGGATCTTTCTCATCTTTATTTTTTATTTACGTAGAATCCTTGGAGTTGTGTATCCTGTTTCCAAGGGAGATTCTATAACTGTTCTCTCACAGAGATCCTAAGTTCCCATAATAAGTACTTAAAAGTCTAAACTGGACTTCACTAAACTCATTTAAACATGTCAAAGCATTTTCCACAGTAGAAATCATCCCTGGCCTTTTTATTTTTTTGGGTGGGGGTGATGAGATGGGGTTGGTGTACAGAGATTTGTGACTACCAAGTTTTAAGTCACTAAGTACCCTTATTTGGCCCAGACACCAAAACAAGTAACATGTTCTCATGAGAGTTTTAAAAAACAAGCAAAAAACGAGTTAGTGGAAAATTTAAAGTGTCTTTCCCATTAAAATAGAAAGTCTTCCTTCCCCATAGAAACTAACCAGCAAGTTGCAGGTCCCCTGATAAGGAAGACCAGCCAATCACCTCACCTCCTAAAAACATTTTATTTCCAATTCACAAAATAAGACCCAACAACTTCAGTCGGTGCTATTTATTTATTTATTTATTTTAATTAACCAAACTGCAGGTTTAAGTAAGATTTGCACTGTTGTAGAGTCAAAATCAAGACTTGATCTTTTCTGTAGGAGAAATTCAGTGCTTGTAAGCTACTCAGTCATTAAGAAAATCATTTTGGGGACTGAGAAGCACGGCAGGCCGCTGCCTGGCGGGAGCTGGTCACTGAAGGGTTGCGAGATTCAGCAGGGGTGATTATCTGGATGCCTCCGTAGTGGTAGAGTAGGTAACGGGTCCCTTGAAAACTCTGCGCCACCACGTTGGTGCCGTGGCACGCCATCAGCAGCAAGTTTCGAGGCTGCACACGGTAAGCGAAGCACATGAAGGCCAGTGAGTAGAAAATGAGCGCAGTCGTCATGCGGCCACTGATTATCTCTGGAGATGCTCTCATGTTCTTGAAGGCGGCCAACCGAAGGCCCCAGTTGGCCGCGGGACCCCAGAAGCGGGTGCTGATCAGGTATTCTCGGAACTCTTTGGTCTGCACATAGTCTTTCGCTCTCCGCAGTAGTGCCGCCAATGCCGCCATGATCGCTGAGCCAGGGGAGTTGTAACGGACAACCAGCCCACGGTGACGTAGGTCTCATGGTGCCTTGAATTCCGGCAGATGCTGATGTAGCCTCTGCCGGCAGCCTAGCGCCTTCTCTTGATGACCGTAAAGTGCACGAGGCAACACGTGCAGTTGTCGTGTTGGGGCGGGGCAATGGCATCGCGCCTTTGCGGGACTGCAGTCAAGTGCGTAGAACTGTAAAGTGGACCACCGGGGCTGGTGAAGGTCCGGCTGTCTGCTTTCTGCTCTTTCTACTTGCCAGTTGTGCAGGTGGAAATTTTGCGTATTCTGCCCGGTCTGTGTTGCTGTTGACTAGATGTTGATACAGAATTCCTCAACCAGGTACAGAATTTTAGTCCCTACAAAATTTTCCTTAGTGTTTTTTTGCAGGCAGTGATGTTTCACCCCTAAATAGTTCAGTGTCTGTTTCTTAAGAACAAGAACCGGCTCCTACTTACCCACAATACCATAAACCCCTCAGATACTTAACATTTAGCACAGTACTATCACTTGACTGCTAACCAGAAGGCTGGCGGTTCAAACCCACCAGCCACTCGGAGGAAGGAAGGTTGGGCCATGTACTTCCGTAGTGATACCGCTTCAGAAACCCAGAAAACCATAGGGTCGTTATGAGTCAGGTTTGACTAGACGGCACATAACAATAACAACAACTATTATCTAATGCAGTGCGTGTTTAAATTTTATAGCTTTATGACTTTTTTTTGCTGAAGGGGAAGATCCAGGATCCAGTAAAGGTTCACATTATCTATCCTCTCCTTTAAAGGTCCTGGGTGGTGGAAATGGTTTGCATTCAGCTAGTAACCGAAAGGTTGTCAATTTGAACCTACTCGGTGCCGTGGTAGAAAAGGCTAGCAATCTGCTTCCCCGTAAAGATTGCAGCCATGACTAAGAATCGACTGAAAGGCACAAGACAACAACAATCCTTTAGATTAATTTTTTTTAATCTAGAACAGTTCACCACTAGCTTCTGTTGTTGCTCATGGTATTGACATTTTTGAAGAGTCCAAGCCAGTGATTTTGCAAAATGTCCTTAATTTAGATTTACCTATTTTCTCATAATTAGATTTGGGTTAAACATTTTTGGCAAATATGTGACACGGGTAATATTGTGTTCTCAGTGAATCACATTGGGTGCCACATGATGTCACTTGGTTCTATATCCACCAATATCATTGGTGATAATTAAGTTTGATCACTTGATGATAGAGTAATCTGTCAAGTTTCTCCACTGTAAAGGTATCTTTTCTGTGATCAATAAATAATCTAGGGAGAGCCACTTTGATAGTGTATGAAAATTTATTCTCCAACAGTCTTTCAGATAATAGTTTCAATAACCATTGATGAAAATTCTTAGTGACTAAACTGGTGATTACTTTCTCAATATTTTCTACATTTTTTGTTTGTTTTGGTGATGCACCATCACTATCAAAACACTCTGATAGAATGCTATAATCTATAATCTTTAGTCAGATATTGTCATTGTCCCAATAATGTCCTGGATAGCCATTTTGTCTTTCTAGTCTAGGATCCAGTCCAGAATCACACTTTGCATTTAATTGTTCTGTCTCTTTAATCTCCTTTAGTCTTGGAATGGTTCCTCGGCCTTTTTTTTTTTTTTTTTTTTTGCCACTCAGGACCTTGATAATTTAGAAGAGTACAGGCCAGCTTTTCTGTGGACTGTCCCTCAATTGGGGTTTATTTGATGTTTCCTCATGGCTGCCTTCAGGGTGTTCATGTTTGGTAAGAGCACTTTGAAAGTGCCCCTGGTATGAGACACATGCTGTCCATTTGTCTGGTTGTCAGTGATGTTAAGATAGCACTGTCCAGATTTCTCCATTGTGAAGTCAACATTTTTCCCTTTGTAATCAATAAGTAATTTGTGGGGAGGTACTTTGAGACTGTATAAATATTTAGTCTCCTAGTTTTCACATTCATTGATGATACTTGTCGGAATCAAGTATTACTGTACTGGTTGCAATATTTTCATTTTTAAATGATTTTCTTTGTCTTATGACTTAAAATCGTAAAAGTCAGAAATGTATTTCACTAAATTTTCCCTGGAATGGTAGCCAACATTTGCAAAAACATGTGACTTTTCCTGCATTATGGCTGTGATAAAGGAACATTGAGAGTTTGCTATTTTATGAAACTTTTTTTGGGGGGTGGGGAGTGCATATCCTGTTCTTTGGAATATTTGCTTTTGAATTCTACCAAAGGGAAAAAATAGCTTTGTGCCTTAAGAGAAGCCGGATGAATAAAACAATAGACTGATATTTTGGCTTTGCTATTTTAAGTTACTGCTGAGAGTAATTTTTAGAGCCAACTGTGTCCCTGATTCTAATCTTTTTTCCTTTTTCTATTTTTGTCTTGTGTGAATACAGTGACTGAAGGCTGCATCGTTATCTAGTATCTACCAGTAGCTATGAAAATGACAGTTAAGTGTGTTGTACCTCAGTTTCTCTATCTATACATGCCCTTTGTGTTATAATCTGGTTTGGGTGGCATAAAGGAATCTGTTGTTGTATGATCCTCCCTCTCCTTCCTCCAAGTCATTTGTGTCATCTCTTTACCTTATTAGTATGTACTGAAAACACTGACCTCTCAGGTCAATGGTGAAACAAGCAGAAGGGTGTCAAGTCTTCCTCCATTCACTTTCCTGCCAGGACCTCATTTGGAGTCCCTAGGGTGTAAATGGAGGAGCTCTGGTAGCATAATGCCTAAGGCACTTGACTGCTAACCAGAAGGCTGATGGTTCAAACCCACCAGCCACTCCTCAGAAGGAAGATGGGGCAATCTACTTCCATAGT